GGGAATGGTGCAGTTTGCAGAGGGTCACGTAATGCTACCCAAGCAAGGGACAGGAAAACACTATAAAACAAGGGAGTGACAAGAGGGCTCCACTGAGCATCATTAAGTTCTGCCACAGGTGTGGAGAAGCTCTCTGTGTTATACAGCTGTTCTGTCTCTGTTATGTGGTTGAAATGTGATTTGTGTGGCTGCAGGTATTCCACTAAGTGCAGGTGTGTTGGATGTTGTTCTGTTGACACGAGATTACAACTAACGTGTTTGCATCAGTTCAGGGTCCAGGTGCAGTGATGCAGTTTTGGGCAGCATTTCAGAATGGTGTCGGGCGTATCTTGGAGACTGACTTGCTAAAGATCCCTGGGATAAGAAGAGTTGAAGGCTTTTCTAGAGCACTGCTTCAGATTTCTGTAGCTAATACTGTAGGTTCCCCTACCTTGTGTTTCTGCCCATCACCCCTTGAGCTCCAGAGTGGGTTAGAGCTTCCCAAACTGAACGAAAGGCAGATGTAGTTATTTAGTGGCATAAGACAAACCACAACACTTCTTCAGAAAATGCTGGCTGCCATTGGTACAAAGCAGCAGCCTTTCAGACCTTCAGGTTCATGTTGGAAGAGTTCAGCCTTTCCCTTTTAAGAGGATGTCTTGGGGAAAAGGTTAAATAAGGGGCTACTCTGACCGTAGTTAAGAGTAGAATTGGGCCATGTCACAAGAATATTTTGCTGCTTGCTTTTTATATTTTTTAAACACTCCTCCCCATGGACAGAATCCTTGGTCCATTGTCAATCAGATCTTCCTTTCAAGTAGAAAGAGACTAAGTGAGGAATATCTGTGTATTTTGAAATTTCTTCTCAGAAGGCAAACCCTTCTGGCTTTTCAGGAAAGAGTTGTTCAGTGGCATCCTTTTGAATAAGTTTAGGATTGCAGTAGTTGGAGGTCAACTTTGTAGCGTTTTCTTCCATACGAAGCTAGTGCTGGTGATGGTCCCTGACTCTAAGCCCCAGAATTGGCATAATATGGGCAGCTGTAGTGCAGGATCACCCACGCTGTGCTAATGCCAACATAGAAGGGAGTGGGGTCCCTGGAGCCCATTCAATTCGTAGCAGTGTCATTTAGATTGCCAGCAGCAATAGTGGTGATTTTTCATGAATTTAGCTTTTTCTGATTGGAGCTTCAGCCATGCTTGGGTCCCGCCGTTGGGTTTTAAAGCTAACACGAGTGCGTATCTAACTTACACATATAATGTGTGATTGTAGCATCTTTTGGCAATTTGAAGTACAAACAAACCAGCACTACTTCCCGCATAACACATGCATGCACACACTCCTACTTCTTAATAAAACCAAAGGATGTTCCTTGGTAAGGTTTTTTTTTGCAGTCACTGTGTGTTAAACCAATCCACTTCCGCTTTAAAGGGACGTCTTTCCTGTCTCCTGTCAAAGAGCAGCTTTCTTGTAAATTGCAACACATTGTCAATCCACAGTGACAGAGCACAAATTTGATAGTGCAAAATGCTGTGTTAGTATTGGACAGAGACTGGACTCGATGGCCAGTGAGGCCCCTTACAGTCCCTCGTTCTTGCCTTTTAGGTCAAAAGATTTTGTCCAATCCTCCTTGTACTGTTCTCTGGCTATGGGAGAGCTCTTTGAGCTTAGTACTGTGATCACTTATATTTGTAATTTAGCCACATCTCTCTCTTTCCCTGTCTATCTTCCCCTCCCCCTGGGAAGGACAGAGAGACATGTTCAACAAGTCTGTTGGCCAACAAGTGCAGTCTATTGTTAGTATCACCATGTCCTCCTCAGTAACATCAGGTTCAGAGGGCAAATCGCTCAAAGCAGCTGGGACATGACTGCTGGCTCGTAAGGAATGATGTAATTACATCCCCCTCCACAGTGAAGTGAATAGAGAGGCCTTCAGAGACGCTTGCTGGGGGGGCTGCCTCAGGTTACTTCAGGTCAGGATACTGTCAAAATCCATCAAAGGAATTCCCAGTAGATTTGGCAGCCGACCTGCACAATGCAGGCATTATGCCACAAGCGGTGTAGCTGAGTTATAGGCATCTGGGCTTTGGAGGGATTCAGTAAGATGTTGCTCCCCCCCTCCTCCCTCTGCTGCATGAATTAAGGCTTTTTTGGATTACTGAGTTTAAAGAAATCCAAGTGGTTCAAGCTGGTTTCTTTTTGTTACTAGCTCAGATAGTTTTTGTTGCAAGAGAGGGGACCCAGAGAGCCATAAAACTTGCTCAGCAAGAAAAGGGACACAAGCCGAGGTGAAGGGAGAACGTTATCCTACTGTGAACACAGGGCCTTTCTCTATTAACTCTGCAGGTTTCTCCATAAAATGACTTCTCCTGGAACTACATAGATATTTTACATTTTTGATGCAAGTAAACATGCTGTCTGCATTTCAGGATTGGTTTAAGCTGTGTAAGACCTTCTGACTTTGGATGGGGAAGCATACAGTCACTCAGCAGCCTGCAGGCAATGGTAATTACTGAACCTCTGCAGTTCAGCACTAATTTAACATATGATCAAAAGTTTTATTCCCTTTACTAGCAATGCCCCTATTTAAAAAAAAAAATTCCCAGGTGTTGAGTCTTTTGTATTTTCATTCCTTGTGGGAATATATGGTAAGGTTTTCATTTGATTGACTGTTTGTCTTCTGCTTTTCATGGTTGGTCTGCAGCAATCTTTTTTTATCTCCCACCCACAGCTAGGTATATACATATAGGATGTTACCCTTGCAAGATATACCTGATGTACCTAATATGATTGGCGAATGGGGGATAGGGACACAGGAGCGTGGTGCTCTGGATTTGCTTGGCATTGTCACTGTGGAGTATCACAACCAAACTCAAGCAAGTCAGCCTGGAGCTGAAAGAGAATACTGAACTCCCAATTCTAGTTTATTGTTCAAAAAGGAGAAGTTAGGATGCTGTCCTTCAACATCCATGTTTCTGAGACCTTAATATTGAAGGGAATTGGATCCATACTTAAAATGAACAAACAAGTGCCCTTACCTTTATTACTAATATTAGTTTATTAATATGGGAGAAATCTTTTAAGGTCTCATTTATTTTTCATCCCTAATGCTGCTGTTTTTCTCACTCATTTGAGAACACAGGTGGTCTAGCACTTCTTATAGTTGGTTCTCACATCAGGTTGTAAGAGGATGTTTGGTTCTAAAATAACTTTTTTCACTGATCTTTAAGAAAATCTTGTAGGGTTTGCCTCCATCTCAAATGGTTCACTAGTGCAACACCTAACCATATGATTAACTTCAGCACTTGTTAGATCCCATTAAAACCCGGCTGAATTCAAGAACCAGTGTTAAGTTTGTTAGCTAATATTGTTCTCTTCCTTTCCTCAATCTCATCTGCATGAATTTGGCTTTTGAATCAATGAAATATTTCCACAGTAGGATGTCATGGAAATAATGTGTATTAATTTCTGTTACTGGGTGAACATTAGAAGCTTATTCTGGGCAGGGCCCTGATCAAAATCACTTTGTTAGGAATCTCCTGTTCAGGCTTTCTTCTGTGATTTCAGTTATGATCTTGACTCTGGCTGCTCAGATCCACTGATAGGCATTTCTCATGACATTTTTGTGTTTCCAGACTTAGCCCTAAAGCAAGAACATACAAAGAAGCATTAAAAAGCTGGAAAAGGGCAGAACGCTCGAAGATTTCTTTGACATTTTTTGTTCATATATTTAGGTGACTGGTCAGATTGGCTGTTTTTTGTCAAAACCACATTGCCCACCGCTAGTTTTTCTTTCTTTAGAATTTATCACCCTTTAAGAGTTATTCCCTTAATCTCCCCTGCCCAGAAATGTGCATTTTACATTCTGTTTAATCCTATTAAACTGTGTATTACACTGTGTATTAATCATCTGACTGGAGAAATCTGGTTCATTTGGAGCTGTAATCCTCCTCTTTGAATGACTGTTTCTATGGGACCTTGGACAACATAAGATAGATTTGCTGAGTCTTATGTTAAAGAATAGTTATACTGTTTAGAAGGAAGGCTAATAGTTAAGTATCTTAGGGACCAGCTAAGCATCATTTAGACTAGTTCAAATGTACTACTTAGTACAGTAAAATACTTGCCTGAGTAGAGGGTGATTGTAAGGGTGACAACTTGTGAAGTTTGTAAATAAGCATTTGAGATGCTGATTTTGGGTGACTTTTTAATTTGTCTTAATTGTGGATTATGTAAACAATTACACTTGTCCTTTGTCCTTGTGTGAGCTCAGTTTATCAGCAGCAATGGTTATAATAATCCAGGGTGAATTGTATGGCTGACTGATATCAAGTGCTCCCTTATAGTGACATCAAGGAAAAAGTATGTATTCTGATCCTTAGGCTTCCAGTGGGTAGCCTTAATTAGGATCACCAGGTAGGGTAGACCCTGATAGTAAGCAGATTTCTCAACTCAGTAGGGTATTATAGAAACATCTGTACTGTAACTACAGTACCTGCTCTTCAGAAATAGCTGGCTGAGTACAAAGCAGAATCACATTCTTGCATTGATTAGATTACTGTAGATACCAAAATGTTTCCTGCAGTACAGGAAATGGTCTTTGTACTGCTTGAGTTTTAACAGATATGGTCTTGAGTTTCCACTGTGTCTTGATGTAGTCAGACATTGGTTTTTTTTTTTTTTTAACTGAATATCCTGGTGAAATAGCCCTACCACATTTCATACAAATCACATGATCTTCAGATCTTTTACAAGGGCTTTGAATTCCATAGTGCATCACGCTATAAATAGACCTATAAAATCATCTAAATCCAAACATAATGTGCTGCCACCCGCCACCTGTGTGTAGACGTACGTTCATCAACGTATACATTGTTATACAATGCATGATGTTGAGGAATTTGCAACCTCTTATCTTATAAAGCACTGAGTATTTGAGGGTTATTTTCATGTAAACCACTTGTTAAATAACAAGAATGAACCCATAATTTGTCTCTTATTAACTCTGCCCCTTTCTCTCCAGCCCCCTGCCGACCCTGCAGTGACACAGAAGTCCTCTTGGCTGTCTGCACTAGTGATTTTGGTGAGTATCTTCTTTCTCTTCTGTTTCTACTTCCCCACTCTGCCCTCTCCCTCCTTACTTTTAATCTGGCGCCTGCTGGATTTGACTACAGAAACCTCTGCAAACAGTGATAAATGTAGACACCAAATTGCAACAAACTGGAAACTTTCTCTGCTTGCAGTAAACAAACTGTGTCCAAGGCAGCACAAAGAGAACAGAGAAGGAGAACATTTTTATAGGAGGTGACATGAAGGGCCTCAATTAAAGCCATTGTATTTGGCTAGTCCTTTCTATAGAGAACAAAGAAGAACCAAGCAACAACAATAGAGGTAGAAGTTCAAAGGTTTCTTGGGGGCATGTAATGGGTATTTTCCCCTTGATGTTCCAAAATGGACTACTGACAAAAGACCAAAGGCTCAGATGGCTGTTTTTATGTCTGTTTTCTAAAGGGGGAAAGTTAATGTTCAGCTAGTATTTGTAATGGTAGCAACAAACACATTATATTGAGAGGGAGAAATTGGGAATGTTCTAAATGTGCTTTTGACTTTGGTAGAACTCTTCTTTCTTGAACGTGATTTCTAGCGTAACTTCCTCACGCATAAATTTAAAGTAATGTAGACAATTTGGCTTTTGGGTTTTGAAGATGTGCTGTAAGGATTATTAATACAAGCACTGTGCCCTTGAACTTACGGGGCCAAATTTCAAACTGATGTAATAAGTGTGTTTTCCCCATTGACTTCACTGAAGCTGCCTGCTTCAGAACTGAATTTGGGCCCAACTCTCCCAAACCATTTTCACGTAACCCTCACTTCATTTCATTCTTCTGTCTCCAGTTGTCAGAGGTTCCATCCAAGATGTAACAAATGAGGTAGAACAGCAAGAGTCCGTAATAGATGTCAGCGTAAGCAGACTCTACAGGCAGAAGAGCAAAGTCTTCCAGCCCTTAGAGGAAAGTGGGAGCTGGCGAGGGCAAATAAAGACCCTGCTGGAATGTGGGGTGAAACCAGGAGATGGAGACTTCCTCTTCACGGGACGCATGCACTTTGGGGAAGCCCGGTTAGGCTGTGCCCCTCGTTTCAAAGACTTCCAAAGGATGTACAAAGAAGCAAAGGACAAAGGGCTAAACCCTTGTGAAATTGGCCCGGACTGAAATCCTCCATTTGGCTGCAGATTGCTCTTAGCACTCAGCTGCAACTGATTCCCAGCCACAGTGAGCGTTCGGAACAAAAAACTGATCTGAAAGAATGAGGAGATCTGGTGAGCAGAGTGGAAGAACCACATGGGATGTCCCTGTGGCCAAGGGAGGCTGTTACACTAATGGAAGCAACAGAGGTACGAGCTCGGAAGGCTGCCAAGCAACCAAGGCTGGAATTTTAACCAATCTTGTCCCTATGAATTAAATTATTATATTTTTTTAGCAAGTTTCTTAGGAAAACAAGCAAAGAAACCTACCAAGTCTTAAACCCTTCCCAGTAAAAAAAACAAAACCAACTGCCTTTATATCTCTTTAATACTAATGTCTTAAGCTGATGTAGCATTTGGTATGGCATATTCTGTATAAATGGTAAAGAATGTGGTAGAACACGGTAAAACCATCTTAATGTTGATGCTTTGTAAAAAGCTTGATGTACAATTCAAAGTTTTTTGTTATGACAGAAATTTATGGAGCCAAACTTGTGTTTTTTGTTTTTTGTTTTTAATTTGAAAGAATGTACAAATCGCCACCTGCAGCTTTTTGTCCAGGCTGGTAAATTTGTTTCCATTCCAGAGAAATAAAGGTCCCTGGATATGATCTGCTTTGTTATGACTTATTTTCCTTCTCCGTATTTTGCAAGTTCTGCTGCTCCTGATGTACATCTGGATCAAGTGTCACTGGGCTAAAGATTACTCCTTGCTTATTTTGTGGCTGCTTTGAATAGAGACAATGAAGTCTGAGTGCCTGTGATCGGTTTGGAAACCACAGTATTTTTTCAAATGGAAGTGGGATCAATTCTTTTTGAAGTCTTAAAGGCACTTATCCTAGGCAAGATGCCTGAATGTTGCACTCTGCCATTCAGTAGGCTATTTTGGGAACCACTGCAAAACAAATATTTCCCCCGACCTCATCCTTCCCAGTGGCTAAGCTTTAAGTCAAATGGGTCGCCAACTGGCTGGAGGGCCGCACCCAGAGGGTGGTAGAGGATGGGTCCTTCTCAACCTGGAAGGACGTGGGCAGTGGGGTCCCACAGGGCTCGGTCCTCGGGCCCGCGCTGTTCAACATCTTCATCAGTGATTTGGACGAGGGGGTGAAAGCACCCTGTTCAAATTTGCTGATAACACTAAGATGTGGGGGGACGTGGGCACACTAGAAGGAAGAAGCAGGCTACAATCGGACCTGGACCGGTTACAAGGGTGGGCGGATAAGAATAGGATGGGTTTCAACACAGACAAGTGCAATGTGATGCACCTGGGGAGGAACAACCGGCACCATACCTACAGGTTAGGGAACTCCCCTCTTGTCAGCATGGAGGCGGAAAAAGATCTTGGAGTCATCATTGACTCCAAGATGAACATGGGTCGGCAGTGTGGGGAGGCAGTTAGGAAGGCCAACCGTACCTTGTCATGCATCCACAGATGCATCTCGAGCAGGTCCAAAGAGGTGATCCTCCCCCTCTATGCGGCACTGGTCAGGCCACAGTTGGAGTACTGCGTCCAGTTCTGGGCGCCGCACTTCAAGAGGGATGTGGACAGCATGGAGAGGGTCCAGAGGAGGGCCACTCGCATGATCAGGGGACTGCAGGGCAGGCCCTATGAGGAGAGACTACGGGACCTGAACCTGTTCAGCCTCCAAAAGAGAAGGCTGAGGGGGGATCTTGTGGCCTGTTACAAACTGGTCAGGGGGGATCAGAAGGCATTGGGGGAGTCACTGTTCCCCCGAGCACAGCCAGGAGTGACCAGGAACAATGGTCACAAGCTAGCAGAGGGTAGATTTAGGTTAGACATCAGAAGGCGCTATTTCACGGTCAGGGTGGCTAGGGTCTGGAACCAACTTCCAAGGGAGGTGGTGCAGGCTCCTACCCTGGGGGTTTTTAAGAGGAGGTTAGATGAACACCTTGCTGGGGTCGTTTGACCCCAGTACTCTTTTGTGCCATGGCAGGGGGTCGGACTAGATGATCTTCTCAGGTCCCTTCTGACCCTAGAAACTATGAAACTATGAAACTATAAGACATCACAGGGGCAATTTTTTTTTGCAAGTATCTAGTTGGTCTAATAAAAGATACCACCTCTGCCACGTTCTGATTCCTTTTGCTTCTAGACCAATACGGCGACAACCTGGTTACCTGGCACAGGGCCAGGTTCATTTCCCTTCCTGTTCTATGTGGAAAATGATTTTTTTTTAAGAGGACTGATTTGTCTGTCAGTGTCTCAACATGAATACAATAGTTTTCCCTCAAGCAGTGGTAACATTCTGTGTAACCTATAGCCCAATATGTTTTCACTCTTTCTTTGGACAGTTGTCATTTAGGTGATTGGTTTTTTTCTACATTTGTCTGTGTTCCCTCCACAGGTACATTTCCCATTGCCCTCTTCTCTTCTCACACTCACTCCCCCTGAATAAATCTCTTATTATAAGGTAATCCTCCCCATCTCCGACCTCGTTCTGTAGATCTTTCTGTACTCAAGGAATGATTCATCAAGTTAAACCTATGTTTTAGTTTTACCTTTGTCCTCCTAAATTAAGTTAGCGGCTCAGATGGTACAAAATTCACCCCCGCCCCCGCCCCATGCACATTTAAAGTTGTAAAATGGGCCGCTATACTTATAGAAAAGTTTTGTAGGATTTAATAGTGATGGAATAATTGGGGTTTTATTGAAATTATTGACCCAGGGGCAGAAAAGATTCTGAGACAGGAAATCCCCATTTGGATCTTTTTGCAGAGATCCCAACATGAGATTTGTCCCCCTCAACCTTTGGAGAAAACTGTGCAACCCTTCTCTCAACCCACACTTGCCAGACCTGAGCATTCCTTTGCAGATCGTATGTGTATGTGAATGCAAGATTGCTTAGGAGGAGATCTTGAGTTGACTTCAAGCCTGCTTTTGTAATAATAGCAAGAGCAAGTGAAGTGTCTCTACTGAGGCAAAGGGAGCCTTTACTCTTGGGGGCGGGGAAGCATGGTTTTGTTTGCAGTTTAATTGTGACCATTCACTTGTTTAGAGATGTTTATGCTTGCATTTCCAATACCAGTGTCTGGATTTAAAGATCATCCTT